TCCCATGTTCCCCACCATGGTGATGATAGCCTAAACCTCTGAAACGGAGAGCAAACCCCCAGTTAAGCCATTTCTTTCCTAAGAGTCGCCTTGGCCATGGTGTTTCTTCACAGCAATAGAGCAGTGACTAATACCGAATGGAATGGAGCTTGCTGAATTAACTTCCTAATTTCCCTTCCAGGGCACAAAGTAGGACAGAAGGGGCTGCATAATGGAGTCAGTAGAGCACAGAATATCCAGGCATGCATATCTAATGTTTTCCCAGAAACCTTAAAGGAAGTACATATTTTTTTTTCCTTGTTAGTGTTAGTATTTAATGTGTCAGGATAGGAAAGGACATGGCACAGAATTTAAAAGTTGTGGTGATAGAGTTATATAGCCTTGTATCCAAATCTCTCCCTAAAACATTCCTTCACATAAAACCTCTTGAAGAAGAGGATTTGATTAAATTCAGAAAATTATGAAGTTTGAAACTCTTCAGCTAGGATTAAGAGTAGTATGTGAAAAACCGTAGCTGAGCTAGTAGGCACACACAAGAGAGTGTGCAGGCTGTGTGTAAATATTCCTAAGAAACAGACCCTTGCCCTGGAGTGTGGTGTGCATGTGGTCAAATCATCATTTGGCTTTTGCAGCCTGCATCATATTCAGTTGCTTAGGTCTAGTGCTGAATTAGCTCCCAAGCCTCCTTCCTATATACTCATGAAGCAGTATTACTTTCTTGATAGTTTGACTTTATATTCTTGGATATTCTTAGTTGTCTGATTTTTAACTTCACCTTTCCCTCAAAATAGCTGAATATCTTTGTGTGTAAGGAAGCAGATCCCCTGAGAGCTTGGCTCTGTCTCCCGTACCAAGATTTCTCTTTTTCTTATTATCTCACTAACTTTGTAAGCAGGGACAAATGATTTTTTTTATTTTTTAATATTATCAATTCGTTTGGAATTTCATACAATGTACTTTGAGCATTTTCATGTCTGCTTCTCCCTAACTCCTCCTAGATTCACTCCCATCGTGCCTCAGTTCTCCATCCCTGTGAAGCAGACCAACAAAGAGGCTGTCATGAGCACTAAGGGTTTTGACAGTTACATGACATTAGGTTACTGGCAGATACTAAGGCAGCATTGAATATAAATTCACTGTTGCTATTATCCTTACAGCAAAGCATTCGTATTCATTAACTGTAAGATAGAATTGAACTCTAAATATAGGCTTCATTTTTTATCTCATGTGATTTTACCCAGTTAATTAAATGTAACTTTGGATTATGTTCTGTTTTTAAAAGTTGATGATTTCTTGATAAAAGACAGAGCATGTTGGATCCGAGAACTGACCATTACAGACATGAGAATTAAAATTCCTCTTGGAAAGCTAGGAAACAAGGAGGACTCTAAGAAAGACACACATAGTCCCCTGGAGAAGGGGAAAGAGACAAATCTCCTGAGCAAATTGGGGTGCAGGAGTTGGGAGGAAAAATAGAGGAGAACAAAAATCTAAGCAACAGAGAAGAGGCTATCTTAAATGTCCTCCCCTGATAATGAGATTGATGACTAACTTATATGCCATCCTATAGCCTTCATTCAGCAGCTGATGGAAGTAGAAGCAGACACCCACAGCTAAACACTGAACTGAATTGGAATCCAGTTGCAGATAAGGAGGAGTGATGAGCAAAGGGGTCATCTGTGAAACCCACAGAAATAGATGACCTGAACAAGGGGAGCTCTTGGTCTCCAGACTGATCACTGGGAAACCAGCATAGGACTGATCCAGACCCCATGAACAAGCATGTCAATGAGGAGGCCTCAGAAATCTATGGGGCCTCTTGTAGTAGATCAGTACTTATACATAGCATAGGAATGGACTTTGGGAGCCCATAAGTTAGTCATCAATCTCATTATCAAACCCATATTTCTTTAGTTACTTTTATCATTGTGAAGAGACATCACGACCAAAGCAACTTATAAAAGAAAGTATTTAATTTAGGGTCATATAGTTTCAGAAGGGGACTCCATGACCATCCTGTTTATGAACAGTTATATCATTGCTGTAGTTACTGAAGATATGGAAAGACAGATGATGCTTTGGTGTCTGTTGACCATGTAAGTGGGCATGAAATATTCACCGTAAATGAGTCACTAAAGAGGAGAAATATTGTAAGAAAATGACTTCATAATATTAAATTCAAGAGCTGTTGTTTATTAGAGATGATAAGCCACATGTTTTCACTACCCTAAACAAGTTTGTTGACCCAACTACATCCCAGGTGCTTGATCACATGTGGATGGGAGGTACATAGGCAGGTTGTATGCTTGCCCCTGATTGGACCTGATGGGAACTGTCAGTTCTGACTTTTTGAGCTCCTGCAAACCCTGACTCAGGACCATTTTCTGGAAACCAAGAGATGGACCTGGCCAGAGAGTCTATCTACTTGGCCAGTATTTGGTTAAAGCTTGCTTCAAATTTGGCAAACAAAACAAAACAAACAGCGACAACAACAAAGATCTAGACCCAGGCCATTCATGTATGCATTTAATATCAGCACTTAGGAGGTTCTGGTATAGGTGGATCTCTGTAAGTTCAAGAACAATCTGGTCTACAAGGAGAGTTCCAGTCCAGCCAGAGCAATATACTGAGACTTGGTCTCAACAAACAAACATTCCCAAAAACCCCCAAACAAAAAGTAGTCTTTATCATACTAGCTTACAAAAATAAGGGTCATGATTGACTATTTTCCAAGGAAAGAGAGTTTGGTACAAATGTTCCCTCAAAAATGACTTACTGCACGGAAGTTAAAGACATTGATGGTGTAGACTCTAAATAAAACAGAAAACAGCAACTTAATGGTAGAAAAAAAAGTCCTTCTGAGTTACAATATGAGAGGATGAAATCACTCTACTTCAGTTCCAGACCTAGCTCTTAGAAAGAGAAGCTGCTCTTTAATTGCATATAAAAGCCATCATTAAATGCACACAGTCCCAGAAGATAATGAGTAAGTACGCTTGATATGTCAAGGACACCAATACAGTTGACAGCATAAAAGATCCATGGAGTATTGTTGAATGATTAAAACATATTCTTTTCTTCCCTCTCTCTATGTTCTATATTTTATCCAGAGAAGCAGAACCACTCAGAATGGGACTTGAGAGCTTTCTGTCTTATTGTTCAAACACAAACCCCATCTATTAAAATGCAAATGTCACAGCAAACATATCAACCATGCCCAGTGTGCATAAAGAGGAGCCACCATCTATAAACTGCCATGCTCTGGGGCTTCTGTCACATGTGTTCAAGATGCAGCAACAGGCACAGTTTTTAACTTTTTCTTATTTCATTATGAAGGGAAGAAGAAAATCCTCATTAAATGTACAATTAATCAGACTATACATTTAGACAAATGAAAATGCTAATAGAAGCAGGTACAACAAAACTACTTTGTGATGGGTTATGTAAACAACTGAAAGGGGCTGACAAAGGAACACAGGTATGGCTACGTCACCAGGACTGAGCTGATATGGATAGAAATATTTTCCTTCTAAATAAGACTGATGTGGTCAAATTTGACTTTGGAATTAGCAAGTTTATTTTTTCTTGGTGATATTCTTTTTCAACATGAATAAAAGCCATAATGTCTTTTAAAATTCAGGGTTCTTTGTTATAATCATTATTATAGATTGTTAAAGGAACTTTAAGGCAAAGAGAACATTCAATTAGTCATAAAAATTACATTATATAAAATCAATTACATATATGACTGACGATACAAACCTAAGGGCAAGCTGCATAGTAAATTTAGAGCCACCAAACTAAATACTGTCATAATTTTATGTTGTCTAGTTTTGGTTCCATGAAATGTGTTTGTTTTCACAACTTCATGTGAAGTGTAAATGGCTGTGGCATTTTAAGTGAATATAAAATACATTTGAATTCTAATATTTATTTTTTTCAGTTTAGTTTAGTTTAAAAGTAATTTAAAAATCAGTTAAATGTTGTTGAAAGCAATATCTGTTGTGCATTTAATAAATAACATGTAGAATTTATATTTTAAAATAGTAGCCATCAATGTTTAATTTCTCATGAAGTTTTCTTGAAGTCTAAACTTCATTTATTATTAACACGTTATATAAGTATATTTTCTATTTCAGAGTTTGTATGTGTCATGTGTGTTGTTTTTTTAATTTTCTGTTTTTGTCAGAGTTTAAATTATCTTAATTTAAAAGTTCTAATTCTATATTGTTTTTTATCCATTTAAAGACTAGGGAAACTCTAATTTTTTTTTTGTTGTTGTTGTTTTTCTAAGCCAAACTGTATCCAGTTTTGTTAAAGATACTTTACATAAACAATCATGGTATTTCAGGCAGGACATGGGCAGACAATCAGTAACAGTTTACAAGAACTTCCAAACTCCCTTCTTGTATGGACTACCAAAATCAGAAAGCCACTCTAAAACCCAATGAAGCCTTCATTCAATGCTTTGGAAAGGGGAAGAGCTTAGAGTGAAGGTTGGCATTTCACATTAAAGATGATGTTTAACAACTTTTCATAAGCCGACCCTGACTTTCAGGAAACGAATGAAAACGGCAGAATTATCAATCTGAAGATCCACAATCTTGTATATAAAGGGAACCGCTGCTCTTTTGAGGATATTATTTTCACTGCAAAGTCCAGATTGCCCCAATAGACCAGTAAAACCAATTTTAGGGGGTCAGGTTCCAACAGGTCTCTGGTTTTAAGGGAGTTAAGTCTATGTTGATGGTACAGGGGGAAGAGGATATAAAAATGAATTTAGAGTATTCCCACACAAGGTATTCTGTGCCATGGTGGCCACATATGTCAACACCAGGACATTTCTCCTGAGCCAAGAGGAGACTTTCTAAATTGTCAAGGAAAGATGTTTTCCATCAACCATCATCAATCAATCCAGCTTAGGAGACATTTTGTTAGTGACACATGTTCCTTCCCCACCCCAAAACAATTAAGTATTCAGTGTGCTAACAACATACTTTAAAAAAAAGTAATACAAAATTCTGCATTTTTATAAAACTTGATAAAAAATCATATTTCAAACTGTACAGTCACCAGAAGTACACAGTTATCAAAAATGCACACATTTCACTTGGCATCACCAGCACCTTCAGCTTTTTGTGCCTGGTCTGTTTTGGTGTCTCCATTTTCAGCAGGGTTATTTGCATCCTTGCCAGCATCTGCTTTGCCCTTTTTCCCCTTGGGTACCTTCTCGCACCTCTTTGCCGGGGCCTTTTTAGGCTTTGGCTCTGGCTTTGGAGGAGCAGGTTTAGCAGACAACCTTGCAGATCTTCTCTGTGGCTCGTCTTTCACCTTGGCTTTATCTCCTTTAGTATCCCCTTCAGCCTTTCCTTTGGGCATGGCGGCGGCGGGGGTATGTCGGCGCTGAACGAAGGGATGCAGTGGTGCGCGGGTTTGGTCTGTCCAGCAGTCGTTCTCGCTGCTTCTTCAACACTAAATATTTTACTTTGAAGAAAACATCACCAAGTCTTTGAACTCTGCCTTGGATAAAATAGTTAAGTATTTTCATTTCTATGTATACTGAGATGGACTTCTCCCACAATGGTGGCACATAGCTCTGCAAATGATAGGTTAAAACAGCACAAGTCTTAGCTTTATAGTGTTAGTTAATATATTACTTAGTTAAGATGTTGTTATATATTATTCTATATAGTTAATATTGAATAGTATGTAGTTAATACAGAGAAAAACAAACCTGAGAAAAAATTCTTTCAGTATATTTTGTGGAATCAAGTTTGGAAAGGATATTAAAGATCACACAATCTAAATTCTCAGTTTGGAAAATGAAATTTGCATCCATAGTACTAAGCTATGTACATGTTTAAGACGTCTATAGTAAATGACAGACTAACAAAATAAAAGCATGCAGATTTAGTTAACACAAATTCCATGTGATGTGAGAGAAGAGACTTCACAGGAGATGAAAAGTCAGCTAGCCAGGAACCTTGTACATTTTGATGCTAAATTGGTGGATAAATGGGTAACTGGAGGAGTGTGATGGACAGGGTGTTTCTGACCTAAATTAGTGGAATGTTAATTTACTAAAGCTTGTTTGTTCATATTCCTCTCTCACCCTGCAGTGTCTTCAGAAGGAATAGTATTTTGCTCTTCCCTTAAAGAGAGGCTCCCTCTTGAAGGACAGACTTCTGACCCACTAGCAGAAGGACACATAGTACTCTCATGGCATTTTAAGAGGAGAAAGGCTGGTGAAGGTGAGAGAGCCTTTCCTATCTTTGCTGCCCTACAAAATGCCAAGGTGCTATATCTGGGAAGAGTTTGAGCTGAATCCCACAATATGATTGCATGTTCAACTCTGTAAGAAATCCTTTTCTTTTCCTGCTATTTTGTTACCTGAAGTCCCATCCGAAATTTCTTTCATATGAATTATTGTAATAATTCATTCTTATAATATTTTCTCTATATCTTTTAAATATTTGAAGACATGTCTGATATAGTCCAATTCTATCTTCCTCAGTTCTTCATTCATATTCCTTTGTTCATGTACTCATCATTGGGGATGCTGCTTGGCATACAGTGGTACTTTGTAAATTCCAGTGAGAAACAAGGACCCTAGTGGAGCTCATGTCCAAGGAGTTCAACTTTCCACATATTAGACAATAGAGTTTTTCTTTTATCACCATTAAAACAATTATCTGTATTGGTGATTGTCTGCCTTAATATAATATGATAGAGAGATACAAGCTACCAATCCAACTGGTGACAATTACCATGCTGTTTATTCACCTAGAAGTATTCTCCATGGAAACCAATAACATTTCCCCAAGTAAGTTCACTTTAAACACTATAACAAAACAGGCTCAAAATTGTGACTAGTAGCATAAAAGGACTGCCTAATTACACTTCAGATGATATCAGAAATTTGCTTAAGAAACAAATTTAAGGACAGAATTCATAACACCAAGGGAGTTGTCAGATTGCAAAAATGTAGGTTACAATTTAGTAAGTCAGTATGTAGCATAATTAGCCTCTAAATCTTTGTGTAATTGTGTAGATGTTAGGGCTAGTCTTGGAGGGGACTTGTCAATTAGATAACTTAGAGGTCATCTTACTTAATAATTGATCCTTTAAAAAGATCTCTTTTCTGTGCTTACATAGCATCAGCATGGAAGTGCATATTCCAGCTATTAAAAATACAAGTGAAATTATGAAATGTGATCCATGTCTTCAGCAATGGGCAGGTAATTAATGGTCTACTTATCATAGGAATAGAATTTGCCATTCTGTTCCTACCAGGGTTTTCGATCACACCATCTGCTTTTCTTTCACTTTGTTTTTCCACTATCCAGTATCCACAGCAAAACTTGCAAGTCATTAGGTTAGAATGAATCAAAATAAGATGGCCACTGGGTAAGAATTTGGAGACCTGCTGTCTCTGAAGAGGGAAAGAGAGGGCGGTTAAGTGTAACTGGCAGTTCTTTCATTTAGATTGTTGCCAACTGTAATAAGAAACTTCCTGGGAAATAAGCGAAAGCTCTCACACTTTCCCACAGGTCCATGAGATACTCATGTGATCTGCTCCCATTTCTATGGCAATGCTGTGAAATAGAAAAGTCCCTGCCTACTATTCCTCAAGGGGACATTATTCATCTCTTGAGAAAATAACTTCTTTAACTTTCTTATGAAGGAGGCCAGTTTTTCCCCTATAAGGATGAATGTGCAGAGGGCTTGTTCCACTGTAAAGTTATTCACATGTCTGTGCTTTAAAGTTTATGTTGCTTGTATCAAAACAGGTTGACTTACCCTGAAACTAATTAAGTTTGTTTCGTGGCAAGCAAAATTCTACTTTCCTTAAGAGTTCATAATAATGCCTTTTTAATACAGTTCTAAACTTGAAATATGACAGCAGGATGGTCACTCTAAGGCCCATTTCTCTGTGTTCTTGTAGTAAGTTGATAGTGGCCAATTAGTGATATCTTTAATATCCTTATAAAAGGTACCTACTTTTACTGATCCATAAATTCATTCTACAATTAGTCAATGAGAATGTACACACAGAGAACAGCGAGAGACCCCATGGACGCAATAGAAAGTTCAAGTTAGAAATATATATGACAGGGCATAAATAATATGCAATCATGGGGATTGCTGGGCAGCAAAAGGAATGGTTAGGACCTGGGTTGGAGAGCCAAAGGAATGCCGAAATGTGAAGATGACCAACTCAGCGCTTAATGGATTATCCTCACGAAAGTGGGGGTTCTTAAAGAAAGCAGGAACTTTTCATGATTAGATTGGATTTTAGGAAGATTACTTGTGACTACCATGCAGAAAATGAACTACAAAGAAGTTGGAAGTATGAGACTAGTTAGGAAGCTGTTGTAATTCAAGCAAATAGGACTATGTGGCATATAGGGGGAGGCTGCTTGTAGACACTCCTCATGAGAGAAGGGGGGAAGGAATCTAAAATTCTTAAGAAAACAACATGAAATAGACAGAATGAGGAACAAAAACCCATAAAAAAAGTTGAAAAGAGGCAGCCAAAGAGGTACAGGCAATATCTGGGCACAGTTCAGGAGATGATACCAAAACAAAATGAGTCTGTTTTACTTATGTATCTGGGAAGAAAAATGCTTTGAAGTTTGTGTCACATAAAAACTAAAGCCATGTCTAACTTAAAGTAGAAGGTAGAGTGTAACAGTAACAGTAAAGTCCCATTAAGGGGATAATATTTCATTCAACAGGATGGAATCTCTAGCCACAGTGGAGACCTAACATTCCTGTTGGTCAAGTCAATCAATCACCTGATAAGAACTCTAGAAGGCAGGTCCGCCCACAACCCAGGAAGCTGGATCCACCTAATGGCACACTAAAGAGATTGGAGGAATAAATTATCCTTTTGACAGGATCACATGCTTTTCCTTCCCATAATTCCCAGTCTCTCTAGAGCTAGCATGAGAGTTTTTGGGTCTGTCCACCTTTCTGAGTCCTTGTAGGGAGCCGTCCCTGCATTCTCCATTACAAGATGGCGCCTGCATCCGGCAGGCACCAAATGTAAACAAGTTATTGCGCAGGCGCTGGGTAATTTTCCATTCCTTGATCTCTGCCTATTCCGTGGCGTCATATGGTCCGATGAGCTGCAGCCAATAATAGGGTGACACGTCCCAGGCGGTGGTTGCCAGCCTTTATTAGGGGACAGGATTCTTGGCTCGGGGTCTCCGCTCTGGTAAGCTTATGCTCTCCTCTCAAGACGCATTAAAGCTTTACTGCAGAAGGATCCGAATGTCCTGTGTGGTTCTTGCCGGCAAGACTATCGCGCGGGACAAGTCCTGACTCAAACAGGTGCTCTATTTACTTTTTCTTCTGTTCTCATTTGTTTTCTTTTCACATGCTGGTCACAGTCTGAGTATGCTTCTTCTGCGAATTTGGGCTATTTCACATTTTCTCTGAAGCACTCCTCCCCAGCACATAGCTGACTTTCTACCACATGCTTCACAACCGCTGCTCCAACAGTATTGCCTTTCCTTTCCCTTCTCCATCTTTCTCCTCTTGGTAACTGTCAGGATTTATAACCTACCTGCCCCGAGGTTTTTCTTTTAAAGTCTAGTAAGTTTGTCCTCAAGATTTATTCTGAACCTGTTCTTAAATGTTTTTATTATTTAGACTGAAATCCCCAAGAGGGGACCCCAGATATCACCAATGGAACAATGAGACTCACCCAGATTTCCAGTAACATCACATATTAATGTGTTGTCACAATTACTTGGTTGACTGTTAATAGTTTGATAGTTGCTTTGGGGAAGGATATTGAAACAAATCTTACTAGGAGACTAGTAGAGATCTTGTGAGTTTGCTCCACATTCTGTCAGGCTTCATGGATTGATCTACTAGGTCTGTGAAAGAATGAGGAAAGGACAGACATACAGACACAAGTACATATAAAAGCTGGCATCAGATGGTCTGAGCTCTTCAGCACTCCAAGAAGCTCAGTGTGTTTATTATTTACAGTTCAACAGGGAGGTGATGCTATAGCACACTACTTAGTAGGCAGCATTACTACAGATCAACAAGAAGGAAAGCGTGCTGGTTAGTTTCATGTCAACTTAACACAGCTAAAGTTATCTAAAAGGAGTGAACCTCAATTGAGAAAATGCCTCTATAAGATCTGGTTGTAGGGAGTTTTCTTAATTAGTGATTGTTTCGGGGAGGGCCCAGCCCATTGTGAGTGGTGCCATCCCTGGGCTGGTGGTCCTGGTTTCTTTAAGAAAGCAGACTGAACAAGCCATGGAGGGCAAGCTAAGAAGCAGTACCCCTCCATGGCCTCTGCATTTGCTTTTGCCTCCAGGTTCCTGTTGCTTGAGTTGCTGTCCTGACTTTCTTTGATGATGAACTGTGAGAGATACGGAAGCC